GCGTATGTTTGAAACTCGAGACTTATGAAGAAAATATGCGAAAAAAATCGAATAGTTGCACGTTAATAAAAGCACGTTTTTCGTTTATGAAACGAAAGATATTGATTGCATGAAAAAAAAATCGGTATAAAAAATGTAGGTATTCGAAATAACTAGAAAATGAGATGTAGAACATTAAAATCGATCTATTAGTCCAGTAGAAAAAAAATAAAAAACACCGTAGAAGACCTTTTTTCACTCTCTCTCTCTCTCTGTTTATTGAGATTTAAACGCAAAGCTTTGAAATTCTCGTAAAATATAGCCCTCGTAATAAATCTAGCCCTTAACAAGTCTGAAATGTTCATAGTTTTTGCAAAAAGCCATTTGTTCACTAACAAACCTGTCTGCGGAAAACTTAATTTCTTCATCTTTGAGCAGTCGCACAACAATTTACAGGAATGATTTTTCTTCTTCAAGAATCGTACTATCATGTACACTTAATAACAAACCAATTTTTTGCAGTTAAACTATTGTAAAACGACTTTAAAAAGTGGTTTAAAAAAAAATAAAGTAGTCTTTTTCAGTATAAAAAAAAAATAGAAATAATTCCATTAATATGCATTTTCGAATACGAATTTAAAAAAAAAAGATTACCTTCAATTATTAGGAGCCGAGATAACAATTTTTTTTCAAAAAATCACTGTTGCTCTACTTTTTAAGATTAAGAGTTCCGTCTGACACCAATTTGTCAAGGAAGAATTGAATTTGCTGTTGAAAAATTTTCGAATTTTTTGCTGCCAAAACAATGTTTAGAACCATTGAAAAGTTGAAGAACGCGAGTGAGTCAGTGCGCCGGGCGGAGTGATAGAAGCTGGCGCGCAGTCGAATAAGGAAAATCGGGCTGCTCGGCGATTCGCGCATATTTGATTTCGTTAAAATTTGCTAAATTTACATTTTCTTAGCAATAAATTTTCGGAGAAACCTGATTTTTTTTTAATCTGAGGTAATTCGATGAGATATAAACAAATATTAGGTGTTGGAATTAATTCGTAGCGTTTTACAAGCGATGGGAAGTACTTTCATTAATGTATTTTTTAATGCTCATGTGAAATAAATAACATTCTTTCATTAAAAACGCTACGAATTAATTCCAACACCTAATAGTTTAACCAAATGTTTCGCAAAGTAATTGTAACTATGAAATTTTTGGTTTTTTGTTTCTTGAATTTTTATTTTTTTTTTATTATCTACTATAAAGTCACTTTTGAATATGAAGTGCATGTCTGATTAACAAATTTAAATCACATTAGCTATGTTTCTTTATTTAATATGCTGTAAAAAGTGTCCAATTGGTCAATTAAATGTACGGAATTGTATAAGTACAAAATTGTTTTTGTGAATTTAATTGCAGATGCAAATATAAAAGATATAATACTAACTTTCGCAAATATAAAAGTAAATTAGTGTTACATGAAAAATATATTTTGCAACTATATTCAACAGTTACATTAACATTTGGCAAATTATTTATTATTTGTTTACATATGTCATATTTGCATCTGCAATTAAATTCACAAAAACAATTTTGTACTGATAATTTCATCATTACATTTAATTGTCAAATTGGACATCTTTTACATATTAAATAAAGAAATATAGTGTGATTTAAATTAATCAGACATGTATTCCATACTCAAACGTGTTTTTTTAGTAATAAACCGAAAAAAAAAAAATTCAAGAAACAAATATTTTTTAAAATAAACATTTTATGATTATAATTCGAAATTTTTTAACGGCAAATTTAATTCTCCCTTTACAAATTGGTGCCAGACGGAACTCTAATCTTAAAAATTAGAGCCACTGTGATTTAAAAAAAAAATTGTTATCCCGGCTCCTAATAATCAGAGGGTAATCTTTTTTTTTTAAATTCGTAGAAAAATGTCAGATGTAAAATGCTTCCCACAGTTATTTGATGTAATACATATTAACGAAATTATTTCTATTTTTTTATACGAAAAAAGATACTTTACTTTTTAAAACCACTCTTTAAAGTTGTTTTATAATATTGTAGTTTAACTGCAAAAAGTTTTGTTATTAAGTACGTGATAGTGCAATTCTCGAAGAAGAAAAATCACCCTTGTAAATTACTGTGTGACTGCTCAAAGAAGAAGAAATTACATTTTCTACAGACAAGTTTTTAGTGAACAAATTGTTTTTTGCAAAAACTAATGAACATTTCAGGCTTGTTCAGGGCTCGTTCGTTATTACGAGAGCTACATTTTACACGAATTTCAAAATTTTGCGTTTAAATCCCAATGAATAGAGAGCAAGTGAAAGAAGGTCTTTTTCGGTGTTTTTTTATCTTTTTTCTACTGAATTAATAGATCGATTTTAATATTTTACGTCTCATTTTGTAGTTATTTCGAGTACCTACATTTTTTATACCGATTTTTTTTTCATACAATCAATATTTTTCGTTTTATAAGCAAAAAACATGCTTTTTGCAACTATTCGATTTTTTTTCGCATATTTTCTTCACAAGTCTCGAATTTTAAACATACGCATTTCTTTTCTGATGGTTTTTCGAGACTTTCGTGAAAAGAAATGCTGATTTATAATTTTTTCCCCTAAAATTCTACTTCTATTGAATTATTTTTGCTACTCGAGTTTATGAAGAAGGTGTATACTGTATAACGCGCATGAAAAATTATAAAATTAAATATCTCGTAAACTGTTGCGTTTTAACACGATTTATACTATTCTGGATTAATGGGAAAGGTACACTATTATAATTACAATTTATTAAACTTATATGTTATTGGAATGCCACTCCGCCCCTTATTGATGCCTAGCGGCTGACTGCCGAGAAAGCATTTTCGATCGCTTGAAACAAGGGATTAGTCCGGATCCCCAGATAACAGCTTTAACACAAAGCGCTGATTGGTGAAAAGCTGATTGTAGAGGTAAAATTTACCCCTACAAAAAAAGCGTTTTCGAACGAAATGTGCAATATTGTTTAGTTATTTTATTTTTGAGATCGTGACAATTTGGCAGCAAATACGGAAGGTTTTGAAATCTCTCGCATAAAAATTTTGTGATATTGTCTTAAATTAAAAAAACTTCTAAATTTTATTTAATTATTAATTCCATGCTTTTAAAAAACTGAAACGTTGAAGGATTGACATAAAATAATGTCTTTTCTATGAAATATTTTATATGCGTAATTGGCATCAAAATATAACTGGAATAATATACGTCATTTAATAATTTATTTATATTAAAAAATCATAAGAGCAAATTCTACTAATCTTACATCGAATTATCAGATGGAGTCCACTCTTGTCGTCTTGTGTTTTTAGCTCAAATTTTTCTTCTTTCCGAGTCTCGTGGAAAACGACACATAATCTTTTTTTGGAATTTGTGCAGTAATCTGCTATTGGCCTACCCAGGCATTGTAACTCTGATATGTCAAAAAACAAATAGATAAAGTTATAATGTAAAATAACTATACAAGAAATTCACGTTTTTATTTCATTAAAAGAATATATAATTCTATTGCAATCCACTTGCCATTCATCTCTTCTTCTTCTCAATCTAAATAACTCGCCAAATAAAGTAACCAATAAACAGAGATCACTCATCTCTGACACAAAACT